CCTGCTTCAGATTCTCTTTCTCCCTCTCTCTTTCTCCCTCTCTCTCTCTCTGCCCCCCCCCATGCTGTCTCTCTCTCAAAATGAATAAAATAAACCTTTTTTTTTTAAAAAAGAAGCCTTCCTGAGTTATTTAGTGAGATGTCACCTGTAACTCCAGCTTGCAGTGAAATTTTCATTTTAGGGTCGATACTTTCTGGTAAAGTACTGATGTCAGGAGGTGGGCTTACAGTCCGGGTATGCAGACGGGCTAGTTCTTGGGGCTTAGCTCTCCTGTTCCGTGGATTTCTAAAACCTTTGAAATGAAGTTTTAAAGATAATGCCTTAGAGATCACAAAGGTTGATATTATAATTTGCCTGTGGTTTTCTTGTAAAGACATCAAATCCTAAGGCCTCCCAGATCAATTTTATTGCAACATGTGCTTGATTTTTCTTTCTTTCTTTTATATATATATATATATATATATATATATATATATATATATATATAAATTTTTTTAAACATTTTACTTATTTTTGAGAGAGCACAAGCAAGGAGGAGGGGCAGAGAGAGGGAGGAGACACAGAATGGGAAGCAGGCTCGAGGCTCTGAGCTGTCAGCACAAAGCCCGATGTGTGGCTCAAATTCATGAACTGGGAGATCATGACGTGAGCTGAAGTTGGATGCTCCACTGACTGAGCCCCCCAGGTGCCCCTGTGCTTGATCTTTCTAAGAAAAGCTAATAGAATGAGCCAGCTTAATTGTGTCTTATGTTATTAATGGTTGTGATGTAGCTAATTGTGTGCTCTGAAAATGCATGGCTGTTGCCTCATCAGTTTTCTGAGTGTGATAACACACTCCTTAGCTCTGATTCATAAGCTCATATATGTAATAATTTGAAATAGAATGATTCTGCACATGACTTCAGTGGAAAAAAATAACAGATTTATGTTCTATTTTATAGTTTAGATTATGCTGTTCTTGTTTTTGTAAATACATTTTTATCATTTCTTTTGAAAATACTGAGGTTACCTCCGTACAGAGAAACAAATTTATTTTTTGCCTGTGACTTCATGCTTGCTTTTATTATCAGTGATATTTTCTGTATAATCAATACATTTAATTTGCTACTGATTCATGTTAAAATTTTCTGTTGTAAAAGTCAGATAAGATTTGTGAGCTTCTAAACATTTCAGCACATAATGATTTTATTATTAAATCTATTTTGAAGTCATGTATAGATTATAAAGAAATTGATAGTAGTTGTTGTTAGACACATCTAGTTAATAAAGTGGTGTTGATTTGGTCAAATTTAGCAGTGAGTGAGTTTTGAAACTTCTAAGAATTTTCTAGATTTTTATGAGTGATAATTGATTCACAGGAAATACAAGTCAACTTGGCAAAAGCACACATGAAGGCTGTGTTGATCTTCTTGAGTGTATTTTTTAAGAGTGGTGTTAAGGAATGATAAGGAAAGCACCGAAGGTCATTAATGCTGTTTTCCCAGTTTTATTTTATTTTATTTTATTTTATTTATTGATGTTTGTTTATTTTTGAGAGAGAGATAGAGCAGGAACAGAGGAGGGGCAGAGAGAAGGAGACACAGAATCCGAAGCAGGCTCCAGCCTCTGAGCTGTCAGCACAGAGCCCGACGCGGGGCTCGAACCCACGAGCTGTGAGATCATGACCTGAGCCGAGTCGGATGCTTAACCAACTGAGCCACCCAGGCGCCCGTGTTTTCCCCCATCTTTAAAAAAAAAATGTTTTTTTAACGTTTATCCATTTTTTGATAGAGACGGAGCGTGAGTGGGTTAGGGGCAGAGAGAGAGGGAGACACAGAATCCGAAGCAGGTTCCAGGCTCTGAGCTGTCAGCACAGAGCCCTACGCGGGGCTCGAACCCACGAGCTGTGAGATCATGACCTGAGCCGAAGTCGGACGCCCGACGGACTTGAGACACCCAGGCGCCCCTTCCCCCGTTTTAATGAGACTTTAGTATGAGGGAAAGTTGAGTCTGTTCAATTTTAAATAAAAGCACTTGTCAGGAAGAGCGGAATGGTCTGTGTAAACCTGTGTGGTCTTAGCACTGGAACGTTAATAGAGCTGCATGCCTGAAGCTTCTCTTGATTCTGAGTTTTCAGTTTGTGAAGAAAACTTTTTTGGCCAGTTGCCTCAAACTGAAATACGCCTTAAAATTTTTATAGTAATTAAGGAAATTTAGACTTTATCTTCAATCTTATATTTTCTCGGGGGTGAAACGTTACGTATGTATTTTAATACTACTCTTGTCAATAACGTGAGACTTTCAGCAGGAAAAGCACTACGTCTGTACCTGTGTCTGCAAGAGGCGAATGGACTCTGGGTGGTGACTTGTCATATTTCTTTTACCTGTGACACCTTTGTGTGCGGAGGAGGTGTCTGAGAATGCCTTTCCTGCCTGTGTGTGAGCTGGTGTCCCCCACCGTGTCCTCTTTAATAACTTAATAGTCCTGCAGACAACAGGCCTGAATTTATGACCTGGGTTGAAAATGTTGCCCTTTACTAATTAACTCATAGGTTTATCTCAGCTAAATAAAACTTCATGGGTAATTTGGAATATATCCCAGTTTACATAAAGAACATGTTACTTCCTTACCTTTTAGCAGTAAAGCCCCAAACTAAATAACCTTCAGTGATTTATAAAAATGTTTCTGTAAAATGTTTATTTATTCATTTTGAGAGAGCGCGAGAGAGTGTGAGCAGGGCGGGGGAATCCCAGGCAGGCTTCTCACTGTCAGCGAGGAGCCCTCACAACCATGAGATCATGCCCTGAGCTGGAATCAAGAGTCAGACGCCTAACTGACTGAGCCACCCAGGCACCTCTGTAATTTATAAACATGTTTAATAATCTGTTTTATTTTTGCCTACTGATGAATTTAGGTAATGCAGTTCTTTCAAAGTTAAATCTGAAATACAACGTTTGCTATGTGGCCATGAAAATGGTGTTTCAGAAGCATAGATCTTTTTGTGGAAAGATGGTAATGATAGTCGTAAGGGGGACGGCGCTGCCAGACGGTGTGCTGGGAGATGCCTTTCTGCTTGTGTGTGCACACCTCGTATCTGGAGATGTGTCCCAGGGTGTTAAGTCTGGGTGTCTGTGGGAAGATAGCAGGAAATGTTGCCAGTGCTCTTTGGCTGTGTCGTTGTGTTGCTCTTAAGAGAGAAGAGCAAAGGAGACACGAGATGAAAATACGGAATCTCTCGCATTTCTGACGTGCTTGAGTTTCAGTATTTATATTTAACACGATTTTAAGTAATCTTGTTGCTATCAGTAAAATTACACTAGATAATGTATTTTTGAAAGAACTAACAAGGCGAGCAAATATGACCTTCTAGAATTCTTCTATGCTGTAAGTTTGCGTTTTTTGTAGCTTTTTTCTCTCTTTGTTTTACATGTGGTTGTTTGGACATCCTTCATAGTCTGTGAAAGTCCGTAAAGGCAGGAAAGTCAACATTTAACACTCTTCACGTGTTAGGTGTGTGGTAAGCATTTTAAATATCTCAGAGATGGAGCAGGCACTATTTTTTTAAGCTTATTTATCTGTTTTGAGAGAGAGAGAGAATGAGCCAGGGAGGGGCGGGGGGGAGGGAGCACCCGGAGAGAGAGCTGTCTTCATTAGCGCAGAGCCCGACCTGGGGCTCGATCTCACAAATCGTGGGATCATGACCTGAGCTGAAATCAAGAGTCGGACGCTTAACCGACAGCCCCCCCCCCCCCCCCCCGGCGCCCCTCATTGTTCGTGGTCGTTTCTTATGAGGAGAAGTAGAAGTGGTCTCGGGGCCGCTGGGGCTTGTGGCCACACCCCTGAGGAGACCGAAGGGCCCTCTGTTACTCCGGAGTCTGGCACTGGTTCTTGCCATGAGCCGGCTTGACAAATTGGGGTCGGATTCCGGCTCGGAGGTGACTCAGTGTGAGCTTTGGCACCCCACCCAACAGGTGTAGGACTGGTGCTTGGTTTACAGGCACTTGAAATGTGGGGTTCTGCTCTCCTAGGAGCTTAATCTGCACGCTCTCCTTCCAGAATCCTCCCTAACGTGTCCTCTCATGCCGCTGACCATGTTTATGGTCGCAAAAACCACCTTTGTTTTTGCCCTTCTACTTTCTTGTTCTAAGATGATTCTAAAGTAAGGTGACATTCCTTTCTTAAAACCCTGTTTTCCTACTATCCTAAACCATTTTTACTGTCATTTAATTCCACAAGTTTGAAATTTAATTTTTGACTCCTACACTTCTAAAACTGTTTTATGCAAGTTTTTTTCTGATTACAACACTGTAATGAGCAAGTATGTCCTATTACACACAGGCACTGTGCACCATGGAGTTAGAGTTCGGTAAGCCTCTGCCTTTATCCCCAAAGGTTTTTAGGCTTTTTAATCAAGTCGATATTATACGGGAGGGTTTTTAAAAACCTTTAAAATATACTTTTATTTATTTTTGTTTGTTTACTTGTTTTGAGAGTGTGTGTGCATGTGCACATGCAGGGGAAAGGCAGAGAGGGAGAGCCCCATGTGGGCCTTGATCCCATAAACCGTCAGATCATGACTTGAGCCGAAGTCAAGTCTGATGCTTAACCGACGGAGCCACCCAGGTGCCCCATTTGAATTTTGACATATTAGTTAACGTTAAAAAACATGTATTTATATGTTTGTTTCAAGAATGATGACTTAAAACGAGGCAGCGGTTTCAAAATGTTAAATATACGTTAGTAACACATGGTATTTGCTCTGAAGCAGCCCGTGTCCTTCTCTTGGTGCAGGACTGTTGCTCTGGAGCATGCACGTGGACCGATGGCGTCTGGGACTCACCAGTGACTCCCGGTCACACTCAGCAAGCAGCCCGGGGTGGGAAGCATGCTGTTTGTGGGTTAATACAGACATTTTCTGAATTGTACATTTATCTTTTGTTTATAGCTTTCTTTAATTTTGAAGAAATATATTGAATGAATATGCACTTATTCTCACTTTTTTACCCCCATTCCTTTTTAGGCTTCTCTACAGTTTAGCCTTTAATGCCAGGTTTCTGAGACACCTGTGGTTTCTCATATCTTCTATGACAACACGGACGATCACAGGGTATGTGCTGCGTGGACTTATAAATTGAGCTTAACTTGAAGCACGTGGGAAGTCGTGACCTAATAAAGATATCGTAAGATGGTATTTTAAAGTACTATTTTATGTAAGAAAAATTCTAGGTGGTCTCAATTTTATAAAAAGAAATTAATGCCTAATTTACAGTTATCTGTATATATTAAGCGGATGGCTTTATTTGAAAGTACATTTGTTTTTAAAATCCTAGTCATTTTTTTTCAACCACAGGCTTGATATTTCTTTGCTCCATATGACTTTCATATATTTTTGATAGTGAAAATATAGAGCTGAAGCAAATTTAACACCATTACAGACATTAAAACGTAAAATATTAGAGAAGTTGCTTTTTGAAACTTTTGTTTGTGTAATTAGGTTTTTCTTTCTTTTTTTTTAATATGAAATTTATTGTCAAATTGGTTTCCATACAACAACCCAGTGCTCATCCCACTAGGTGCCCTCCTCAATGCCCATCACCCACCCTCCCCTCCCTCCCACCCCCCATCAACCCTCAGTTTATCCTCAGTTTTTAAGAGTCTCTTATGGTTTAGCTCCCTCCCTCCCTAACTTCTTTTTTTCCTTCCCCTCCCCCATGATTTTTCTTATATGAATCGGCATGTAACTTAAGTTCTAGAATCTTTAATATACACATTTTAATTGGATGTGTACTAAGCAGAGAATTTAATGTTCACACATCCTTCATGGTGAGCTGACGTAGCCTAGCGTCCCATCGAATCTCTCCTCCATCAGAAGTCCGCGCTAACCCCTCTCTGCCAACCCCTCTCTGCCGTAACAGCGAAAATGAAGCATGTGGCTCAGGCAACCAGAGACTGCACTTCCAGAATGCAGCTCACTGTGCTGGCAGTGACAGCGGCCTGCAGCCTGTCTGGCCTGTCTGACGAAGGACAGACACACCTCACCTTCAGGGCGAGAGTTTGGAAGGCATTGCCTTGGCATTGCCCGCCTCTCTCTGTCTCTCTCGCCCCGCCCCACCCTGCCCTTTCCCTTCCCTTCCCCTCCCTCCCTTCCCTTCCCCTCCCTCCCTTCCTTCGACAGGAAGTTGAAACAGTTTTTGGTGAGTGAGGATGAGGTGCCCAAAATGCAGCATGCACCGGGCTGGTCTGAGAGGTGTCAGGTGGTGACACACAGAGAAAGGACGACCACGTTTGCTGCCTTTCTCTCCCGGTCAGCTCCTGGGCAGCAGGAGACCGTATGCAAGGCATCTGTACAAGCTAGTCTTACAATAAGAGGGGATGTCAGTTCGTTGATAGTTTTACTTTGAGTGACATACTTGGTTTTCTTCGTTTAATGTTACTGCATCTGGAGTGAGCAGAGGGAGCTTATAATGATCCCGCAGCAGCTGATGACACTCCTAGAGGTGACATGAACAGGGAGGAGCGGCCAAGATGGGAGAGAACCTTGGATGCCTTAGTGTCTAGAGAAATTCTGTTACATCCTTTCCTTCTCAGATAAAAATGTAGGGCTTTCATGTGTGTTTGGTTTCGTTTTTTGGTGCCTTTCAGCCACTTACGGCTGTGCCGGCCTTGGCACATGACAGGTTTGTTTAGCGCAAAAGATCAGGGATCGATGGGGCAGGAAGTGATCTTCGGGCTCCGAGTGTTTCAGCTTAGCGACCTGCCCCAGCCCACGCTGTGCCTGACGGCCGCCTGGGGTGCACAGTGTCTGGCTTGTAAGGAGGTGGGGTCGTGGTGTGAAGGAAAATGAGGTGTTATTAATTATAGCAAACTGCTAATACTACTTTATAAGTTGGTGAATTTCACAAAAGTTTTAAAACTCATTTCTTAGAAGCCAGTTGGAGAGTTTGGGTTTCATTTTCCATATTGAATTAAAGTCCCTCAAGAAACTTATGATGGGATATGTACTAGGATTGTGTTAATAATCTGTAAGTTTCTTGAATTTACCATTGGAGTAAAATTTAAAACTTAAATTCCTGATTTTCCTGAAACTGGCATTGAGTTAGCTTGGAAATCGTTTCATAACAAGACTTCCGCTGGGACCTCTGAGTTCTAAGGGTCATGACGAGCGTGTGAAAACGTACATTTCTTTGTGACCCCCGAGTCTCGCCGGCCTGGGTTAGAAGCCCAGGAGTCTGTGACCTCACAGGCTCCTGGGTGATTGGGGTGCAGCTGACCCCAAACGACCACGTGGCTGGCTGGCTTGTCTTTGTCGTGAGACATCCCTTTACCATCGCGGGAGGGGCTTTGCCGGGTCACGGCCTGGGCGGTCATTTCTCTGACCCCGAGGCTGGCGTGGTGCCTTGTTGTCTCTAACTCTGTGGGGACTGTTCTCATTATGAATTCTTGTCACACTGACACCAGTAGTAAGTAGTACTGACAGTAGTCTAAGTATTGCTCTTAAAACTCGTTTCAGGTGAGGGGCCTGGGTGGCTCAGTTGGTTGAGCGCCTCTCAATTTCGGCTCAGGTCATGACCTCATAGTTCATGGGATCGAGCCCCAAGTCAGGCTCCGCGCTGGCGGCATGAAGCTGGCTTGGGATTCTCTCTCTGTCTCCCTTTCTGCCCTTCCCCCGTGCATGTTCTCCCTCTCGCTCTCCTCAAAATGAATAAACTTAAAAAAAATACTTTAGCATGCTCTACCGACTGAGCCAGCCAGGTGCTCCTTCCCTACCTTTTCTGTTAAGAAAACAACAACAATAAACCTTCCACCAAAGCCATAAAAAAAAAATATTAAAAAACCAACCTCATTTTAGGCAGGAAAGCATTCAGTAGAAACTTCTGTAGCAGAGAAACCTTGATCCAAGGAGGAGTGGTTGCTGCAGCCCGGGGTGGGAGCCTCGTCCAGAGGGCGTGTCCAGAGAGGAGGGGTCACCCGTGGCCCCAGCGATGCTCATGTGGCAGCCAGCTCTCCAAGTTCTGAACCAGTGTCTTTTCCATTACAGTAAATTATGGACTTTTTATTTGCACATAAGTCTTTGTGATTGACCTGTTTTTAGAGGAATACCTGAGTCCGTGTTTACGGCCAAAAGAATGGTCAGCGGAGAATCAAGAAACGTGTCTGCTGGAGGGGACCAGAGGCACACATCTGACCCTTCTTGCCAGCCACAGTTTCTGTCATTAAAATGAAGATGATTCATTCCTTTTGCTTACCTTATGGGGGTCAAGGAGAAAAAAGCAGCTCATGTTGAATAATCGCCCTCCTCTCCTTTAGGGAACGCGTGTCAGCATCTTACGTGTGCTGGCACATACGTGCGTGACCGGTGGTGGCGATTAAGGGCGGGGACTGCTGACAGGCTAACAGCTGGAAGCTGGTGTCTCACTCTTCCAGGTTCAGGAAATACCTTCTCCACCTTGTAGCCCTGAACTCGACCTGTCCCGTGTCCCCCAAAACAGCATCTGTCCGTCACTGTCATCTGTTCTTTGGGGAGCTCTGCAAGGGAACCAAAAGATACAATCCATTTTTATTAGTACAACAAAACATGTGACGTTAAACTTTCTTGCTGCTGTACGTCAGCACGATTTCACTGTGTGAATGGCCCAGGACTAGGTTTGGGGGGCGGGGGGTCCCTGGGGAGGAGGAGGACTGGCCGGTTCAAAGGGCGCCCCCACGCCTCTTGTATCCTAACATAAAGAGCCTTTCTTTGTCATCTGGCTTTGGCCACGAGGTAGGGTGCTTGTACTCTGTCCTCACTGCGTTTTTATTTTGGACAGACCCCTTACACCCATCACTTCACCGAGCTGCTGTCCAGTGCTGTGGGTACACACAGCAGGACGGCTCGCCCAGGCTGTGTTTCTTCTGCGGGACAGCAGAGTTCACGCTGCACATCTGGGTCCCTGCTCTCACGGCCCTGCTGGTGGCGGTGCTGTCCCCTGAAGTGGGCCCCGTGGACACCCTAACGCTCCAGGCCGCTCAGGCCAGCTCACCGGAGCCCCACTAGGAATAACTACATTTGCCTGGCCTTACCTTCTGCTTCGGGCTCTCACGTAACTTGGCAGTGGTGCGCAACCGGTTGGTAACTTGTGGCTCCTTATTCCTGGTCACAGTTCACCTGATTCACACCTGTGGTTTTGTGGAAATAAGTGTTCAAGTATAAACGTACGTGGATGAAGATGAGCCGGTGATCACGCACGACACCTGCCTGTTCAGGGTTGGCGGGACATGCTGAGGGGACCGTGGGGCTTGATAGACGCGGGAGTGCTTACACGTGACCCTCCGTTCCCTGGATGGTCAGCAGGACAAGGGGCCACATTTGACCGAGAGAGGACGGGACAGGTTCCAGGTGGCTCTCAGCTCCTGACCCGTGACAGAGACTCTGGGGTGCCCCGCAGACGGCCTTGCTTGAGATCAGCCCTCCTGCTACAAGCAGGGGCGCTGACGAGAGCTGGTGAGGGAACCTGCGGAGTGGAAACAAGGCCCAGCACAGAAGAGGGGGACCTTTATTCCTGAAGGTTCTGGTCAGGGTTCCATACTCGGCCGTTTTGAATGTTCCCAAATGTAAGTCACTGGGTAAATTTTTCACGAGACCAACTTGATTCTTTGTTAAATCCGTTAAGTAGAGAGGGGGGAAAGGGGACAGTTTTCAACACAGAAATGAAGTCTGGGTCTTTAACAGTGGCGTTACTTACTATGACCTCTCTCTGGGGACCGCTGGCTCGCTCGGTGACTGGATTCGTCCAGTTGATCACGGTGGCAGGAACATTAGTAAGGAGTGGTGGGTTGTGTCCTGCTTTTTAATTGGAGTTATTTACGAACCCATGTTATCAGAAGGACTTGCCTTCCCTTGAAGTAGTTCAGCTGCTAATGGGAATGTTATTTTCCCTGATCATGCTTCTCTGACGGCCTGTCTTAACTCATTCCCAAATGAAAACTGACCTTAAAGTCATTGTGGCTCTTTTCGCTCCCATTTCAAGGTCGATGGTGCCACTGCTCCAGGTGATATCTCGGGGCTCCCCTCTGTCTTTGGAAGACTCCAATCGAATCATCCCTCTCTTCTACCTGTTCAGCTCTTTGTTCAGTCACTCGCTAATTTCCATACATGACAGTGAGTTCTTTGGGGACCCCATAGAAGGTAAGAGTTTTGAGGAATCTGGGTTGTTTTGGCTTCACTGCCTGTCTGTTTTCATAGATGATAGAAAAGTTTTAAACCTCTTAAGCCTCTCACTGTGTTGAGAAATGAGAAAAAACAAGTATGATAGAATATTGAACTGTGTTTCTCAGTTGTAGGTCAGAGACAATCGTCAATGATGCCTTTTACCCTAGAAGAGCTGATAATGTTGTCTCGCTGCCTCCGAGATGCGTGCCTAGGGATCATCAAGTTGGCTTATCCAGAAACCAAGCCAGAAGTTCGAGAAGAGTATATTACAGCATTTCAAAGTATTGGGGTTACGACTAATTCTGAAATGCAACAGTGTATACAAATGGAACAGAAGCGATGGATTCAGTTATTTAAGGTATAGAATATGCGGGGTGTGTGTGTGTGTGTGTGTGTGTGTGTGTGTGTGTGTGTGTTTAGGAGGTCACACAATGTACAAACATGTCCTGACTTGATTCATTTCATAAAAACGGAAGGACAGGTTTGCATCCGGCATCATTCTTAATTTGCAAAACTTTTTTAAATGAAGAAAATGCATTTTAATTTTGCTTTTGCCTTCTTTTAAAACCTTGTGTTTACATTGTTACATGCATCATTTATAAGTTGCTCTAAGTACTTTTAGTGACTGGATAAAGTATAAATAAAATTTTAAAATATTTTCATTTTCATATTTCACCAAAAGATCTCTTACAGATTTTTTTTTTTTTTTTTAATCTCTTGAGAAATTGATTAAGAAAAGTGGGATAAGGGGCACCTGGGTGGCTCAGTCGGTTAAGCCTCTGACTTCGGCTCTGATCATGATCTCATGGTTCGTGAGTTCAAGCCCCACGTCGGGCTCTGTGCTGACACTTCAGAGCCTGGAGCCTGCTTCGGAGTCCGTGTCTCCTCTCTCTGCCCCCTCCCCTGCTCACGCTCTCTCTCTCTCTCAAAAATTAAAAACAACAACAACAACAAAAAAAAAACATTTAAAAAAAAAAGGTGTGATAAAGTCTTTAGTGTAATGTAAGCTGCATGTAAATTGTTTTAGGGTATCTTCATTTTCACCCATGCCCAAAGAGAAGCTACGGGTTTGCCGTGGCTGGAACACTGGCAGGAAATCCCCACCAGTGCGAGTATCACTGAGGGTAGAAAAAAAGAAAAGATCGAGGGTGCTTGACTTGCCACGAAATTTCTGCAGCAAACACATCCAGTCAGCTAAAATCGCTCATTAAGGGAGTGGGAGCAGAAGAAGTGCATTTTCCAAATTGAATGCTGGATTTACAGTCCGTTTGATACCCGCGACCCCTCGCGCACTAATGTGCGGCTCCAATCATCAGCTGTCCCTCCAGGTCTTTTATCACTGCTTTTGTCAAGCTATCTATTTAATTGAAAGAAGTTAATTGAATGAAAATGATCAACTAAGCTTGTATTAATATTGCTAATGGAACTTTCTTCTTGGCCATGTTTGGAGAAAGATGTCAAGCTAGACTTTCGGAAAGGCCCATTAACGCTCGCACTTAACCTGATGGGCTAATTAAGGACTGCTTATTCATCCGACGAGTGCACGATAGTCTCTATCCAGCCCATTGTGCCGGATTTTACAACACATTTCACTTAGGAGCATGAGCATTAGTAGCAGTGAGAGTAACTGATAATGTTTTGATTGCACTGAACACAGTACTAATGCATCATTGAATTTATAATTTGTGCAGATTGATGTAATATATGTTTGCACAATTTATTTTAATTACCTATCTCTGCATTCCCAAGTAAACTCTAAAGGTCACATGTTGAACCCTTAATATATCCATTCTTAAGGAGTGACAGTTTTGCAACTTTTCTAAGTTAAAAATAAGCTGTCTAACCCATTTAAAACTTAAAATTCTTATGTAAACTTTTCCTGGATACGTGTATTATGGTGGCATATGTGTTTTTCTTTAAGTATTTAATTAAACTCTGGGATCTTTGTTAATAAAGCTTTCCATTATGTAGGATATCAGGTTTGTGTGCACTATCAGATAATCTCATTATTTTATAGCACCTATTGAGAACCTCATAATTTTCACACGGCAGGCTTATCTTTAGGACTTAGAAATCTCAGAATTTAATAATTCTGTATAAGATATTTCCCCCTGGCCTTGTTTTGCTTTGGCAGTAAATGAAAATTCTGTAGTGAATTTTTTCTTCTGCCTTCAAATGACTCATTACCACTTGATTAAGGATTGCGGCTTTTAGGAATTAGGGTGAAGGTTCACTTTTGTGGTACGGGATTGTTTTAGGTTTGAAATCGAGTGGTTACAAAGACCTGGGTTTAGAACAGAATTGTTTGAAAGACAGTTTTTTGAACAGGATTCCTGTTCTTTGGGGAAAAGAAACCTTCTTCATACTCTCTGCTGCTAAGCTGAGCCCCCCAAAAAATGAAAAATCGAGGCATAGTTTTTGAGTAGAAAAGGGTTTTTTCCGTGTAAGAAAAAATTATCTTTAACATGAGATCAAAAGAATTACCTACCTCCCAGTGGATACCGTGTCCCAGGCGGTAGTCTCAGAGCTGTACATATGTTAATTCTGCCAGGAAGATGCCATTATTGTCCCCATTTTACAGATGAGGCATGGCCGCCGGTGAATAGAACCGGCATCCGAACCCGGCCGCTACTCTGCATCCCCCTCGGAAGACTACGAAAATAGAATGCTAGCATTTCATAGGTATTTTAGGGCCAGATTTGAATTGAAGAATTCAAGGTAGAAGCAACCAGAAAGGTAAAAGCATTTTGCCCATGATTTCCTGCCTTCCGCTGATGGTGACAGAATTGCAAATGATGAGGCCTGACTCCTCCGGCCGGCAGCCATTTTCATTTTTCAGTCTTACGATGGGCCTTTCAGACTGATTTCTGTGAGAGGCCCTGCTGGCTGGTCACAGAGCATAGAATTTTAAGTGGATAGAGTCATCTTTCTTTGTCACTCTAAGAATTGAGGTCAGTTGCTAGGCCCCGCATTGACACTGCTAAAACAGTTTATGCATTTATCAAATTTATAAACTCCTCTTGAGGCGTAATTTACAGGTCTAATTACTTGAGCCCTATCAGGAGATAGGAAGTCCTGTGTGATGCGGCTTCTGTGGGAGCTGTCGCCTACATAGGAGTCCCCTACCCGGAAGGTGGGGGCCTGGGGAGCAGGGAAGAGACTTCCGGAGCCTCTCTCGTCTGCACACCTCTGCGTGGAGAGACGGAGGTCTGTATTGTGAGTGATGTTCACTTTCTCGGTGGCTGGTTTTATTTTTCAGGCTCAAAAAGAATCGTTTAAGAAGTGAACATTAAAACAACAGCAGTGCCCTAACACGGCCCTAGCGTGCCGCCGTGAACTGTCGCTGTTAGGCACGCGACGCACCTTTGTTCTTGCAGGGTAGTGTCACTTCCTTTCCGGTCTTTGAAGGTTTTTGTTTAGTTTCTGACTACTGAATAAAATGGGTACTTTCAGAAGTAATTTTGTAGTGTTTTAGACATCCTGGAAAACCCGGTTGTCTTTAAAGATACACCAGTTTTCGCAGGTCGTAACTAAAGGCTTTATAAAACTTGGCTAACCTGACATCAGTCCACAGCGGACGCTTCGTGACCTCGGGGTTGGGGCTCCGCTACCACCAGTTATCTGAACACTATTATGGGAAGTAATAGAACATGAAAAACAACTGTGTGTATTTCTGAAGGTTTACTTACATAATTTTTTTAGTTATTGAGCGTGTATTTAAGGTGTAGATCTAGCATGGGCAGACATGATATGGTGGACGAGAGCGAAACATACCAAATAAATACAGTGCTGTTGTATTTATAGCTGTTGAAGCCTGCTGAGAGTGTCAGTGGGGCTGGGCACACCTGGTTATTCCAAGTACGTGCGTGTTTGTGTTCTGTTTTACTTCCTATTTCTTAACACGCTAGTAGTCAAGGATCTCCCGGGGAACAGTTAAAAACAATTGACCGGCTTTACCTCAAAGAATTGAATGAAAATCACTGTTGCTGGTACCTCTGCCCAGGCATTCATCAGCAGAAGATTTTGGGGCACTTGGGTGGCTCAGTTGGTTAAGCATCAGACTTACGCTTTCAGCTCAGTCGTGATCTCACAGTTTGTGAGTTCAAGCCCTGACAGCTCACTGACAACAAGGAGCCTGCTTGGGATTCTCTCTCCCCCTCTCTTTCTCTCTGCCCTCCTTACTCCCAAAATAAATAAACTTTAACAAAAAACAAAAAAAAAACCCAGGAGATTTCAATATGCAGCCAGGGTTAAGAACCATAGGCCTCACTGTGTAAAGAAATCACTTGGGGCAGATATGTATAACCTTTGATCTCATATAGCAAAAGTAGGCTTACTGTGACGTAGGTCCTGTGTATTTATTTTTATTATTTTTTTTAATGTTTATTTACTTTTGAGAGAGAGACAGAGACAGAGACAGAGAGACAGAGTGTGAGTGGGGGAGGGGCAGAGTGAGAGGGAGACACAGAATCCAAAGCAGGCTCCAGGCTCCGAGCTGTCAGCACAGAACCTGACGCGGGGCTCGAACCCATGAACCCATGACCTGAGCCGAAGTCGGACACTTAACTGAGCCACCCAGGCGCCCCGAATGTTTATTTATTCTTGAGAGAGAGAGAGAGAGTGTGAGTGACCATGAGTGGGGGAGGGGCAGAGAGAGAGGGAGACACAGAATCCGAAGCAGCTCCAGGCTCCGAGCTGTCAGCACAGAGCCTGACGTGGGGCTCAAACCCACGAACCGTGAGATCATGACCTGAGCCAAAGTCGAACACTTAACCGACTGAGCCACCCAGGCGCCCCTCTGATTGTTTTTAAGTTTATCTATTTTAGAGAGAGGGCGCACAGGATTGCACCAGAGGGGGAGGAGCAGAGAGAGAGAGAATCCTGAGCAGGCTCCACACCGTCAGTGCAAAGCCTGACATGGGCTCTATCCCCCAACTGTGAGATCGTGACCTGAGCCAAAATCAAGAGTCAGACGATCAACCCGTTGAGACACTGGGCGCCCCAACAAATTTTAGATTTAAGCAGGAACTAAATTTTAGATTTAAGTCAGGGTGCCTGGGCGGCTCGGTTGGTTGAGCGTCCAGCTCTTGATGTCAGTCGGCTCAGGTCATGATCCTGCTGTTGTGAGATTGAGTCCCTCACTGGGCATGGAATCTGCTTAAGAGTCCCTCTCCCTCGCCCTGTGTCCTTTCCCCCATCACGCGCGTGTACGTGCACACGCTTTCTCTAAAAACTAAAAAAAATCTAAAATTCCTTCTGTTTTGGTACAGGCTTCTTTAGTGTGCATGTCTGTACCAGAAAATTTAATAAAATTAACTGAGAGCAAAACTGCCCTCTGATCTCAGCAGTGGCTGTTAATCCAGTTCGAAATTGGTGCCCCAGTTCTCCTTACCTTTCACAGTCTTTAGTCGATTTATGTAACTTTTTAATGGTCACCTCCACATTTCTTTCCGATACTACATATTTGTACAGCAGTTGAGTTTGTGGCCCTGAAAATGCATGCAGGGAGCAGGAATGTGATCGGGGGTGATTTGACATCACAAATGGACCCCGTTAAAGTTTTGCGGTTTCTTAAAATTTGCATTTTTCTGTGAAACTTAGAAGAGACTAGTTTAAATGGAGGAAGTGTTTTTAGTTGAATTTAAAATATGGGATTTGACATATCTAAAAAAGGATTTTGGGAATTGGTTCCGGGCTAGTATTACCAGATTTAGCAAATAAAAATGTGTCACCCAGTTAAATTTTAATGTCATGGCTTGTTTTAGATAAAAATAGGTCCTGTGCAGTATTTTGGATATACTTACATTTTTTAAAAAAGCAATATTTGGAGCATATTTATTCTAAAAAATTATTTGCTATTTACCTGAAATTAAAATTTAACAGGTGTCTTTATTTTTTCGGCTAAATCCTCTCCAAGATTCCTCTTCGAGGTTGGCCTGCCGTCAGCTCTGAGCTGTAAGACCTGCTTTTTCACAGTGACTCCTTCTTGACATCTCGCCCCTTACAAGCCTCCTCAGGCCCCCATCACTTTGTGCCTCCCGCTTTCTCCTCCCTCCCTCTCTCTCCCTTTCCTTGTTTCTGAAAGAGGATAGATTATACCAGGACATGTATAAGTAATAAGCGATTACTGGGGTGCCTGGGGGGCTCCATCGGTTGAGCGTCCGACTTCGGCTCAGGTCACGATCTCGCGGTTCGTGAGAGTCAGGCCCTGCGTGGGGCTCTGCACTGGTGGTGTGGAGCCTGCTTGGGAGTCTCTCTCTCTCTCTCTCTCTCTCTCTCTCTCTCTGCCCCTTCCCCACTTGCAGTCTCTTTCTCAAAATAAATAAACAAACTTTAAAAAGAAGTAATATGTGATTGCTTCTTTTTTTATACTTAGGATGTGAAAATAAGACAGTGGCTGCCTGTATTGAAACTTTTTAGTGTTTAATTTCACAGTAATTTAAAAGAAGAAAGTAACTTATGGCATTAATTGCCTCATACATAGTTTCATGTCTGTGACCTGCAGAAAACAAATGTCCTCATGACCAGAGGTTGAAAGATGACTACCAGGAGGCAGATAGAAGGTTTTATTCTAGAGTGAGGCAGCCCTGGCCCTGCCCCTCACGGGCCCGGGAGCAAGTCTCTCACCCTCAGGAAAGCTACGTTTCCTCAGCTGTGCAACGGGGAAGGTCAGTACAAGAGGATGCCACCTTTCAGTGGGGTGCCACACGTGAGCCATAAGTAAATGGGCGCAGTTAAAGAAATACATGAAACGTGTGTCAGAAAGCATGTCTTCTGCTAACAGTCGTGGTGTATCGTGTAAATTTCGGCCCAGTATCTGTTCAGTCTGAATTTACTTGAAATACTAATATGGCTGGTTATGAAAATGGAAAGGTATAAGCTGTGATATTTTAAAAAAAAATTTGTTTGTTTATTTATTTATTTTGAGAGAGAGACGGAGCAGAGGGGAGGCAGAGACAGAGACAGAGTCCCAAACAGGCTCCACGCTGTCAGCACGGAGCCCGATGCGGGGCTTGAACCCATGAGCATGAGATCACGACCTGAGCGGAAATCAACAGTCGGACCCTTAACCGACTGAGCCCCCCAGGCGCCCCAAGATGTGATAAACTTCAAAGAAAAAGATGGTGCTTCTGTCTGTGCTCTCGGAAGAGGGCACGTGCTTGTGTCGTGCTCTGCGTGCACTGACCCGTCGGTTGTCCCAGACAAGACCACACGTGTAGCGTAACTCATCGCCATCTGGTCTTTTCGTGCTCATAGAGCGTTGCAGGTGCCTGACTTAAGCCCTGAGCAAGCATAAGAGAGTCAGGAGTGGGGGGTGACCGACGACAGGTTCAGGCTGACTCACCTAAGCTAATTACTGCTGATTGAGAAAGGATGTTACCATAGTGTTAGGATAGGCCTTCACCTGCCACAAGGGATGAGGAAGAACAAACCGGGAAGAAATTCCGCCAGTCAGAAGGCTGTATTCTAGGTCTTGAGACATTTATGCTGATGTGGTTTTGTCTGTGCGGCCGAACTGCTCAACTACTAACTGTTGGCTCCATCCGTGGGCATCTCATCCAAGCCGTGTGTCCACATTATAGCCGTCTGAGGTGTCAGCCGAGGGCCCTTTCTCACCTGCTTTTGTTGGACACACGGAGTTTCTGGTATCCCTGGATGCCAGGGTTTGCACGTCATGAAAGAAGCATTTGTATTTCTGTGGTATATACATGCTGGGTTGTAAATTTTAAATTAAAGAAAAAAATTTTTTAATGTTTGTTTCTTTTTGAGAGAGAGACAGACGCGCACACACGGAGCATGAGCAGGGGACGCGGGGGGGGGGGGGGGCAGAAAAGAGAGGGAGGGAGACACAATCCCAAGCAGGCTAAGAACGGTCAGCGTAGAGCCCAACGCGGGGCTCAAACCCACTAACCGTGAGATCGTGACCTGACCAGAAGTCGGATGCCTGACTGACTGAGCCATGCAGGCGCCCCTGAATTGTAAAATTTTAAAGAGAAATCTCTATTAACAGTTGAAATTATGCAGTCTTATTTGTCTTGTGGGTATATTTGGAAATTTATCATGTTATCCTAATTTTTTTCCTTATCCGAATTATATTTTATCCTAATTCCTTATCCAAATTGTATTTTACTTAATTAGAGGCCATGTGGACAGAGGCCTGGCTGACTTTTTTGGAAAACGTCATCATAGCCTTACTTTCAGTACATAGTAGTTGTATGATCAAATCCTGGTTGTAAATTGGATTTACAATTTTATGTTGGTTTTATCTTGGCTTATTGCAAAGTCCATTTGTATTTAATAAAAAATGTCAGGTCTTATTTTTTATTTTTTATTCCCGCCGTCGGGTCTTTTTTAAATAGGCAGTGCCATTAGCTCTCTTACTCATATAGTCTAAAATTTATAATTAATTATTGATCCCAAGTCAGTCATTGAATGCCTACTAGGTTTGCGGGTCCTCAGCTGGCTTTTCTTCAGAGGCAGCTTCCTACGTAGCCAGAGAGGGACCAGAGCTCACTGCAGAAGCAGTACTGAAATGCAAAGTGTCAGCATGGGGGGGCTTTATGAGAGGAGTGGGGCCCAGTGTGTGTAGAATCATGGTGAGAAGCAGGCCTGACTCCAGAGACGTGTATAAGGGAAAGACAGGAATTGTTGGTCTTTTTTGGCAGATGTCAGAGGTCCATGTAGGACTCTCCCCCCCCCCCCCCCCGCCCGTGCACTTGACAGAGCGTCTTTTAAGAAAAAATAAATGCTATTACTGTAGGAAAAAGTTTTACAGAATTGCCGTACTTGGAGATTTCTTACATTATAGCTCAAATGAGCTAATACATTTCCAAATTTGTGTTTCAAAACTCATTTGCTACCTCCTTTGTAGACAGCCTTTAACATGTTCCTGTTAATTTTTCTCTCTTCACTGGCACTTAACTAACCACTTTGTACTTGACTCATTCTTGAGGCGCCTGGGCGGCTCAGTCGGTTAAGCGTCCGACTCTTGATTTCGGCTCAGGTCATGATCCCACGGTTCATGGGATCGAACCCCACTCGGCCTCTACACTGACCGCGTGGAGGCTGCTTGGGATCATCTCTCTCCCCCTCTCTCTGCCCCTCCCCTACTCTCTCTCTCTCTTTCTCTAAAAAATAAACATTTTTTAAAAATTGTATTATTTATCTTAAAAAAACACAGACTCATTCTTGGGGTCACAGGATAAGGTACTCTCCTGTGGCCTGACTGGTGGTGGCCGAGGGGAGGCCCGGACGGCCCAGCCCACGCACTCACAGGCATACAGGGGGGCTGCCGTGTTGTTGCCTCTCTTGTGCGGTGGTCGTTACTGGGCTTGCTCACGTGACTCGGCCCTGCTCTCCCTCTGCAGGTTATCACCAGCCTTGTGAAGATGCTGAAGTCCAGAGACACCAGAAGAAATTTCTGTCCTCCAAGCCACTGGCTGTCAGAACAGGAAGATATTAAAGCAGATAAGGTTTATGGAAAGATCTTTTTACATAGTTTTCATTAAACATTGTCTCAGCTTTTGTCTTTCGAGGGAGGATAAAGCCTTTTAAATTGGTTCATTTGGTTCATTTGTTACTTAGTATGTAACAAAATATTAATAGTAAACTTTTTTATTATTAACGCTTAGGTCACAAGATAGAATATATAGCAGTACCATCGACTTAAACATGCATCCTGAGTTTGTTATTAATCCTGATTTTCTCCTTTAACCACAAATTATATTGAAGCCTAGTGGTTCTTTGTTGGGGTTGCAAAAGATGTTGCTTTTATTGAAAGGTATTATAATTATTGACGCATATTTGGTACTTAGAGGAAATGGAGCATGTCCTTGATTTTCTAAAGGAACAGACAAATTTGAATGTTACTAAAATTACTAAAACCTAGGTCTAAAGTAGATTCAGCAGTATAATATATTTTCAGAAATTCAAGTAACATTAACAGACGTCTATGAACCGTTTTCGTTCTTGTTTGTCAGTGAAAGGCATGATTGTATTCATTTCAAAATCTCGGGGTGGAGGGTGTAGAAGAAACAGGACTGTAGAAGCATTAAAGGAAAGAAAACAGCAGGCGCCTGGGTGGCTCAGTCAGTTAAGCATCCGCCTCGCTCTCAGCTCAGGTCTTGATCTTAGGGTCATGAGTTCAGGCCCCACTCGGGGCATAGAGCCTACTTAAAAAGAAGAAGAAGGAGAAGGAGAAGGAGAAAACAGAGGTGCTTTATAACAGTTTCAGAAGCATTACTGTGTCTGCATGAATCTTGGAGCGTGTGGCGCCTGGCTGTGCCCACTGGTTAGGCTGCGAAACCACGGCCAACGCTGTAGCAGATGGACATCTCCAAGGCCCGGGATGGGGCCTCCGAACAACATTTACCACCAAAAGGAAACAGCCTTTGGAACGATGGAGTGTCTTGTCACTGGAGAATATGGGAACCACAGGAGGCCCCGGCCCTTCGGAACAGGTGTAATGGACTAAACGTCGAATATGCTTAAATCTGTGAGTTACAGGTGCCTGGCCGGCTCAGTCGGAAAAGCATGGGACTCTTGATCTCAGGGTTGTGGTTCCAAACCCCACATTGGGTGTAGAGATTACTCAAATAAATAAAACTTTTTCAAAAGTGTTCTAAACGTTAGAAAATGAAGAATGTGATTGGCCATCTTATAAGCAGAGGAACCACCTTATTATTTTGAGGACGGGTTCGGAAAAAAGTAATCATGCACTGAGTCTGCCTTTCCCTTACGAACTTCATGTATCTCAGGCTGAGTAGTGGTGATGTGAGACCCTTCTCGGTGTAGGGGTGGCTCATGATGCATGAAGAAGCCGCTTTTGACCTGGAGCCCCACAGTCTGCAGCTCTGATGAGTCAACGATCTAGGCGGTGCCCTCGGGGTGCAGGCCACAAGGGGACCTGCTGTTACCGGGCTGGAGACCCCAGCAGATGAGGGTCCAGTGCCGGACGCCCCTCGCTGTGCCGCTGCTACCCCAGGAGACTCAGCTGTGGCAAAAACGTCAGCTGCGCCACACCGTGCCTGGTAGCGCAGCTGGTCCCTCTCTTGGCCTCATCGCTTTGTAACAACGGGTACCCAGACCTGCGGTCACCGGACACGTGCCTTGAGGAAAGGACACTCTGCCCACGAAGCGTCCTGGCCAGAAACCGAACCTGGATGTGAGGAGCCCTCCTGATGCCGCTGCACATGTGTGTGGGAACCAGGCCAGAAGCCCGTGTTAGCCCCGAGGGGCCTCAGCTGGCAGCACCGCCCGGCCGGGGGGGGGGGGGGGGGCCTGGGGGGCCTGCCACCCAGCTGCTCTGACCCGGCCCGCTCAGGGCCGGGGGAGCCCACAGAGTGGCGAGGCTTCCAGAGTGCACACGACCCCAGCCTCGCTGGATACTCAGATTTTGTAATTATGAGATGCTGAATATTTAGTAGTAAGAAATTCATTCTTTAAGCGTGATACGTTTTCGTTTAGAAAGTGATCCCATGACCGTTTACTATATGCACCTGTTACACGGCATTAGCCAGAAGCAGCAGAGAGTTCCCTGGGATGTGTTAGAAGCAGTTACACTGTCAAAGCGTGAAAGGGTAGCCAGCAGGGGAGAGAGGGGGGACGAGGACATGGAAAGGACATGAGATCAAAGAGCAGGACCCGGCTGACACTGTACGTGTAAGGCACGACTTAGTTCACATGTGACAAGTTAAAGTTCGCGCCACAGCACAAGGATGTACTAAGCAAGCGTTGCCGGCTCCGCAGGTCACCCAGCTCTACGTTCCGGCTTCCAGACACGTGTGGAGGTACCGGCGGATGGGGAGGATCGGCCCCCTGCAGTCGAGCCTGGACGGTGAGTTCTCTGTGGCCTTGAGGCCTCCTTTCCGTTCAGGGTTATGGACTTCCATTCCATACCGGGAAGTTCACTCTTTTCAGTGTACTGTTCTGTGATTTTTGATAAACATAGGCCACCACGATCAATCATAGAGAAAAGGCTCATCGTTCCGGAAATTACCTCGTGTTCCTTTGTACTTAGCCCTCGCCCCCGGCTCCTTGCCCCAGCCCCTGCCCCTGGGAACCACTGATTTGTTTCTGTCCTGGTAGCTTTGCCTTTTCCAGAACGTCTTTAAATGGAACCATGTAGTGTGTAGCCTTGTGCGTCTGGGAGGGAAGGGTCCAAGCAGACCTCAAGGACATGGTGGGTTCTGCTCTCCACCACCGCAATCAAGTGTATGTCGCAGAACAAGTCAAATGAATTTTTTGGTTTTCCAGCGTATGTAAAGGTTAAGAGCGCCGTCGCATTACGTCTAAAGAAACGACAAATGTACCTTCATTAGAAGAAACTTTTAGGGGCGCCTGGGTGGCTCGGTCAGTTGAGCATCTCACTCTTGGTTTTGGCTCAGGTCATGATCCACACCTGCCTCGGGCTCCATGCTGAGTGTGCAGCCTGCTTGGGATTCTCTCCCTGCCCTCCCTCACTTGCACTCTCACGCTCTCTGTCATATTAAAAAAATACACTTTTTGGAAATGATGCTATCATCTGAGTCGTTTCAGTGACTGAGAATCACGGATCACAGATGACCGTAACAAATGTAATTATGAAAAAGTTAGAAATGTCGCAAGAGTTACCGAAATGTGACACGAGGACACGAAGTGTGCAAGTGCTGCTGGAAATGGTGCCCACGGAGGCACCGGGCACGGGGTCGGCACCCACCTTCTGTTCGTGGCACACAGTGTCTGCCAGGTGCCGCAGGGTGGGGTGTGTCCGTGCCCGTAACTCCACAAAGCCTTTAAAATGTGTTGCAGTGGGTTTGGAGTCCCCACCGCTGTCTGTCTCTGAGGAAAGACAACTCGCCATCCTGACAGAATTGCCCTTTGTGGTTCCATTTGAGGAGCGAGTCAAGGTAAGCGGCTTGGTGTCTTCATAGACCGCGTGTGTGTCACAGTCACTTAGCACCATTTCAGCGTTGCACTAACACCAGCCACAAAGTCTCCGAAGGTGTGTGGTGCTGATTCTGTACTTCTTATTTTCCTCATTAGGTGATAATAGCTGAGCGCGATTTATACAAGCATAGTCCAGGGGCGCCTGGGTGGCTCAGTCAGTTATTAGCGTCTGACTCTTCATTTCGGCTCGGGTCATGATCTCACGGTGGGGTCGAGCCCCCGAGTCAGGGCGGAGCCTGCGTGGGGTTCTTTCTGCCCCCCCCCCCCCCCACTCGCGTGCATCCCTGCGCTTTCTCTCTCAAAATAAACTTTTGCTTTGCTTTGCTCTTCTTTTTTTTTTTTAGAAAGCATAGTCCAACCAAGTACCTCTTTATATAGACTTGAAAGATTTTCTCCTTAGTTGTACCTAGAGTTCAGAGGCCTGTCACACCATCGTCGTCTTATGGGAGGATGAGGTCCTTTGTCTACTGAATTTTGTATTGGTTTTGAAAATGCATATTTTTTGAAAAGATACGCTTCTGTACATTACGTTGAAGTTATTTATCACAAATACTAGTTTATAAAAGAGACTTGGATAGTCAACTTCTTGCCTGGTCATTTTTGACTAATGTACAAAACTTTGTATTTATCTGTTTTGAGATTTTAAAACGTTTTGTTTGTATTCATCAACTTAGCAAATTTCTAAAAACTACCAGGCTTTTTTTTTTTTAAGTTTACTTAGTTAGAAAGAGAGTGAGCTGGGGAGGGGCAGAGAGAGAGAGAATCCTAAGCAGGCTCCACACTGACAGCATGGAGCCCAGTGTGGGGCTCGAACTCATGAATTGTGAGATCATGACCTGAACTGAATTCCAGAGTTGGACGCTTAACGGACCGAGCTACCCAGGCACCCCTACCAGGCTCCATTCTTAAGTAATGGATTCAAGAGGGTAATTTTAGTCCTGCCCACTCTTTATAGGATGAGCAAAAGATTGAATTTCTTTTAAAGCTGTTGGTGTTTCTTTGTTAAGACACACACACACACACACAGAGGCACAAATGCAACATGATATTACATAGTTCCTGAGCTCCCTCTACTGGATTTTTAGCATCAAAAAAAAAAAAAAAATCAGCTGAGTTTTATTGTTAGGGAGATATTCCTACTAGTGATACACAGCTTTACAAAGAAAGATATTCGTTCTTTTTCTGTCACCTGGGTTTTTCTAAAGGGTTTGTAAAAGAAAATACTGACAGTACTACAGCATGGGACTTTAAAAATTTGTTGTAAGATGGGGAAGAGGAGCAAGGTTACAAATACACAAATATCGCATGTCTACTGATAAGGCCGAAAGTTCATATTCGATACCTTGGCTTTTAAAATTTGTTTCTGAATTCACGGAGATAGAAGACTAAAGATTTATGTAGCAGTTTTTTGTTGCTTATGTTTATAACAAAGTCTCATTTCAGATGACCTGACAGCTTCCTCTGTTTGTTAGATCTTTCAAAGGTTGATTTATGCAGATAAGCAAGAGGTGCAAGGAGACGGTCCGTTTCTGGATGGAATTAATGTCACTATAAGAAGAAATTATATTTATGAAGATGCTTATGACAAACTTTCCCCAGAAAATGGTATGTATAATTCTGTCTGTGTGTATGTGTGCGGCAGGGGGAGTCTGAGGGATTCTTTTAGAAAAAGGTCCTCACTAAAACCTTGGTGTCCGTCGTCTTGTTCTGTAATGAGTTTTAACAGTGAAATGTAGCATGCCGGGTCTGTAGATGTGTATTATCAAATAACATTCCTAAGACTGACAGATAATTATTGCAACAGGAGACTTTTTCAAGTAGTGATTTCTGTTTTTAAGGCAAAAAAAAAACCCCTCCACTCCACCTGCAGATGTCTGTTTCTAAAATTTAGTTGGCGACCTAGAATTCTGAAAATGTTGGTGGGCGCCGTTTACGTTCTGTATTATGTGTGTGTTATAAACTCTAAGCCTTGTTTAACGTGCCATAATAAACTCGGTGCAGTGCAGATTTCTTTATAAAAGGACGTGGGCTTCAGTGTCAGTGCTAGTAGAGAAAGACCGGAGAGATTTCTCCCGTAACAGCACTTTGGATCGCGCGTAGAGGTCATTGACACGTTTTGTCTCCTGTGAGTATCTGACAGCCAGCATTAAGTGTTGTATCACTAGTTTACATGTTCATAGTTTTTCTTTCAAGAGTATGGGATCCCTGTTAACTGCATTAAATCAGGACTAGATCGGTACAGGGAGCTCGCAGCGGAAGGTGGCAGGCAGGGTCGGGATCACGGCTGCAGGAGATGGGAGGTCGTCAGAAGTGAAGTAACAGTCGCCTCTCCGAGGGGAGCAAAACCTCGATTCAAGTGATTTTTTTCTTAAAGAGCTGATTTTGTTACGCTGTGGCAATAACGGCGGACGGCCAGCGTCAGGCACCGGTCCCTTCTCTTCCAGGTTTTGTGTGTGAGGGTTTGATGTTCACATAATGTGGTTTTCTCACCTAACCTGTGCCGTAGCCCTCTGAGGGCGGACCGCCGCTGTCCCAGCTCACTGCCAGCCAGCATGGTTCGTTTGTAAGTTTTACCTGCGAACGGGGCAAAATCCAGAACTCTGACTCAAACCCAACACACTTTTGAGAAAAACTGGACCTCCACCTGGGGGCTCCTCGGTCCCCGCGAATCGGCAGTAGTAGCTGTGGTGTGTCTGCCACTTGGCCGGGGCGCTCGCGCTGCGGCCCGGAGTCCTTGTCCTCTGTCCGGCTCAAGTCACGGGTGCTCAGTAGATGTTTGTTGAATTTGCGATTGAACCTGGGGAAAACTCGAGAGACGAAATGATAATTTGCCAGCCACTAAGACTGTGGGTGAGAGCAGAAGTGAGGCACGGTCGGTGCTGCGGGGTGTCGGGAAGGGGAGGCCTGCCCGCGTGGCCGGTCCTGCGCAGCCGCTTGGGCACTCATTCTCGCAGGCTTGCTTCCTGCACGTGCTGCAGGTGGGGTGCCTCCAAATGTGGTCGGCGGCGACTTTAAACTAGCTTTAAAACTATTCATGTAGATGGTTTTTAAAGACATTACTGTCCAGTTAGAACAAACTGCAAATTTCCTAATAAACCCTGAAGCTTAAAGTTGTTCGAAAGTTGACCCTACTCTGCCTCCCGAGGTGTGTTCTGATACTTGCACTGAGTTCAAGGGATGTGGAAAAACCTTCCCATAATGCTTGGTCATAATGCTTTAGATCTCTGCAGATGCTCTGAGTCAGGCCTTCTTGACAGGAGTTTTCAAACCATGGCTTAAAATTGGTATCTCACCAGCGAGAGGAGTAAAATTAACTGTCATCTCCGAATGTTTCATTTACTTAGGGGAAGTTGGTGGGAAGTGCTTTGTTGATTGATCATCTGTGTATAATCGGTTAATGTGATTACCCCGTGTATCTAGTCGTTAAAGCAAATCCTTCCTTCACCAATGCTCGGCATCTGTCATCTCGGAACAGGTTTCTCAAGTGTGGGCGTCAGCTGGTAGGGGGAGAGCTGGCTGCTGGGGCTCCGGCCTGGGCGGTGGGCGGTCCTGGAGAGCCCTCCCATGGCGGTGCTGCCGCCATGGGGGCGGGGGGGGGGCGCGCCCGGTGCAGAGCTGTGATCACCTTCACTCTCAGGGCTGCTGTCACTCTGGGCATGATCGCTCTTCTGGGATGAGAGCCCCCCAGAGCTGGCTCTGGACTGAGCTGTGCTCGCTCCGAGAGCCTTTGTGTGTTCGCTGGTTTTGAGGTGTTTGTTTACTGGGCAGGATTTACTACACTGTTTTCCTGAAGGGGGAATGGTAATAGAGTAAAATCAAAGGAACATTTTACTTAGTTTTTTCCCCCCACTAAAACTTTAGCGTGTAAGTAGAGATTTTAAAATTCATCCTTAGAAACAAGTAGTGTCAAGATATTTCGAAGGCTGGATTTGATTCTGAAATTATATTATGTTTTTTTTATTACTTTTTTTTTTTTTACATATCACTGTTTACAGAAATGAGCTTCAGGGAACCACAGAATCTCAATTCTAGCCAAAGTAGAGAGGCGACTTCCGATGGCCCACTGAGTCTCCAAGCAATCATGACACACCCCCTGCCCACCATGAGACTGTTGAAGGGGGGCCGTGGCCAAGTGTCTCCCGCCTGTAACATTTGTACGCTTAGAGTTTTTACAAAATCTGCTGCTGACTGCTATTAGTCGGTTTGAAAAACATTATATAGGACAAATGCTTATAGTTCATCCTTAAAATTGGGCGTTAAAAAGGAATCTGTAAAGGTGAAAAATACCCAACTATTTTTATGTTGCACGTACAATTATCTGCTTAGATTTCTTTTGGCATTTTACGTAGATCTTGAGGTTGAACATACTTTGTAATCCTATTGATCAAAATAGATGTTGGGGTGCCTGGGTGGCTCCATCAATTAAGTGTCCGACTTCAGCCCAGGTCATGATCTCATGGTCCGTGAGTTCAAGCCCCGCGTCGGGCTCTGTGCTGACAGCTCAGAGTCTGGACCCTGTTTCAGATTCTATGTCTCCCTCTCTCTCTTACCGTCCCCTGTTCATGCTCTGTCTCTCTCTGTCTCAAAAATAAATAAACATTAAAAAAAAAAAATAAAAAAAAAAAAGATGCAAATGACGTATTGTGGAATCTAACCCATCCCCGAAAAGCATGTTCTGATTGCTCATTTAAGTATATTAAATTGTAAAAACAAAAGAGAGAGGGCACCCCGCTGGCTCGGTCGGTAGAGTGGGCAACTCCTGACTTCAGGGTTGTGAGTTCGAGCCTCACGTTGGCGAGATTGCTTAAAAATAAAACCTTTAAGAAAAGAAAAGAAAAATAAAGAAAGAAGAGAATATAGTTTAGTATAAAAGCCTGTGCTTTGTAGGCAGTAGACAAATCTTTACATTATAACACTCCTGCCACAGTGCCAGCTGTATGTCTTTAGATAAATAAAATAATTCCTTGTCCTTGGTTTTCTTACTCCAGAGTGAGATAATTCTTAACCCAGAAGGTTGTTAAAAGACTTGAAGTAATGTGTGTAAAATTCTAACATGAATGCTAGCTCGGGGTAAATAATCAACGATGGGCATCCCTTTATGGAGTGCGAGAGCAGGCTGTAACCAGGTGGCTTAATTTGTCTCCCTTACTCTGGGGGAACCGTGAGCCTTTACACAGAGCTCACCCAGCAGCGTGTTTCTGTCGCTGCCGGCAGGATGGGGTGGCCCTCGCCCCTGCCGGTCAGTGAAAGATAGTGTCAGTACCGCTGTCCACAGTGGTGTAGATCTCAGTCCATATAAGAAATTGTACCGGCCCCGTTTGGACCGTGTTACAGAGTATCTACCGCCAGGCTCTGGGACTTCAGAAGTAGCGACACAGCTCCCCGAAGCCACGTTCCGCTAAACCCCTTTCCGGAGTGTTTTCTAGAGGTCCCCTGTCCCTTGGCATAGGTCGGCCTCGCGGGAAGCCTGAAAGATGGTGGCGGCTCCTGAAAGCCCAGCAGCAAAGTGGCACCAGGTGCAGACCTGGGCCGAGCTGCCTGCACCTCCGAGCTCTCGGCATCGCACCCACCCTGCCCGGGGCAACCGCCCCTGCCCCGCCGCCCCTGCCCCGCCGCCCCTGCCCCGCCGCCCCTGCCCCGCCGCCCCTGCTCGCACCTGCTCCCGTTCAGGATGCAGGTGGGGAAGGGTGAAGTTACTTTCTCAGACCCGCGCACCCTGATTAAGCCTGTCCAGTGAAGATCACCTGGTTCTGGCTTTTGGCAGAATCACTTCCATTGGCTTGTATTTGGGGCCTGTGTCCCGAGGCCTGTACCGAACTAAGGCTGTGTATCATTGTGGGTGAGGCCAAGGTCATATCCCTGCTGACAGCACTCCTGACCTCCTGAGGACCTGTGTGGAAATTTCTCTAAGATACCAGGCTTAATTGACCAACTTTACAAATTTTTTTTATTTTAATCTTGGTGGCGCACCATAACCAAAAAGACTTGTACCCTTTTCAGCCGCTTACTGTTTTTAACGATAATGTAGATCCTGGATTCTGACTCTCCTGCCTCGTTCACCTTTTTCAGAGACTCTTTGTAATGTTAATTGCGCTGACATCTTCTTTGTCCATTTATGGTTTTCACCTTTCCTGGTAACAGTTGCTGTTCCCCTGGTATTCTCACGTGCTTAATTCCCTCCCTCCTAGTTCAAGTCTCCTAGTATTTTAGAGCATCCTGTCCTTTAGAATAGGTGGGATGGCTTTATTTGCTCCTGAACACTCAGTTTCCCCTCACCTCCACGTGTGATATATTAACATAAAGGAACTTTCTCTCTTTCTCCCATTGGCAATTTTGGGGGAATTACTGGTCGGTCTATTTCATCATCTGGTTTTAATCTCATTGATTTTTTTTTTTTTTTAGTCCTGCATTAAAATATCTCTAATACTCTTGCTCCTCTTCCAAAACTTCCTGTAGCAATAATAGCATATTTAAAAATTTTTTTCTCCTCGCCCCCATCACCCCTTTGTTTTAACAGAGCCTGATTTGAAAAAGCGGATCCGCGTGCACCTGCTCAACGCACATGGCCTGGATGAAGCTGGCATCGACGGTGGTGGGATTTTCAGAGAGTTCCTCAATGAACTGCTGAAGTCGGGATTTAACCCCAATCAGGGGTTCTTTAAGACTACTAACGAGGGCCTTCTGTACCCCAGCCCAGCTGCTCACATGCTGGTGGGAGACTCCTTCGCCAGACATTACTACTTCCTGGGCAGGATGCTTGGAAAGGTACAGTGTTCTGGGACCACGGGGTGCTGGGGTGGTGTTTCCGTGTGGTTGCCGTCTATTTCATTGAAGATCTTTATTCAAAATTGCTTAAGTAATTTTGGTGATCCCTGCATCGTATTCCTTTGTATAATAACTAACGTTTCATCGTCATGCGTTACATGCACAGCAGTCACAAGCATAAAGTATCTGCACAGTATGGAGAACCTGGGGGCACATACGATAAAATCCTGTTGGTCGAAATCTTTTCAGTGGCTGTTGGCCGTCTGGCTGTGTGCTGGAAATAAACCAGAAAGCTCTCTGTTGCTCTCATTGGTAGTGTCACAAGTGGTTCTTTAGTTACAAGTGGTCTTTAAAGGTTCCGTAAACTTTTAGAGTGCTGCGAGGCAGACGACCATTGTTACTGGGTATGGGGTGAGTGGTACATGTGTCGTGTGCAAACTCCAGGAAAATTGGCTGTGTAAGGATGACGTGAGGGTAATGCTGTCATGAGCAGCACGTCACACACCCGCCGACCGTGCACACAAACACAATTTGCCCTTTACTGTAAGTGGGAAAACTTCATCTGTAGCCTGGTGGACATTTCCTGTTTATTGGTGAAACTTTGACAGGACCTGCCCCCCCCCCACCCCCACTGGTAAAGTCAGAAGCAAAGCCAGGACACCCCCGATACCAGTGCTGTTCGTCAAGGAACCAGGTCAGTCCCTGCCTGTCGTCCCTGCGGATGGCTAGAACAGAGCACCACAGACGTGCAGCTTCTGAGGGACCCACCCACATGTGTTTCTCACGGTTCGGGAGGCTGGAAGGTCGCCATCAACAAGCCGCGGGGGTCTCCTTGGGTGGGGGCCCTCGTCCCAGTTCACGTCCGTGCCTTCTCACCGTGTCCTCACATGATGGAAGGGGCGAGGGGCTCTCCAGGATCCCTTTGAGAAGGACACCAATCACATCCCTGAGGGCTCTGCCTCATGACCCCATCACTGTCCAGAGCCAGCCTCCTAATGCCACCGCCCTGGGGACGCAAACATCCAGTGTACCAAAGGTGGGGACAGCAGGCCAGGAGACTTCATTTAAATCCAGGGTGGCTAACTGCTTCCCTGCGGGACAGATGAAGTCCAAAAAAGAGATTTGGGTTTTCTTTCTTTTTAACTGAATACTGACTTTTTAAAAAATTTTTATTTTAATGTTTATTTATTTTTGAGAGAGACACAGAGAGAGAGAGACAGTGTGCACGGGAGGGGCAGAGAGAGAGGGAAACAGAGAATCTGAAACAGGCTCCAGGCTGAGCTGTCAGCACAGAGCCTGACGCAGGGCTTGAACCCACAGACTGTGAGATCGTGACCTGAGCCAAAGTCAGATTTATTAACCAAGTGAGCCACCCGGGCGCCCCACGTTGTCCATTTCTTAAATTGAGTTGTTTGTCTTCTATTATTAAGTCCTTTATATATTCTAGTTCAAGTCCTTATCCGACATGTGATTTGCAAGTATTTTCTCCCGTTCTGTGGGTTGTCTTTCACTTTCTTGATGGCTTCTAATGCATTTATTTTTCTTTTGTTGCCTGAGCTTTTGCAGTCTTGTGTAAGAAACTTGTGGTCACGTGGTTTAATCCAGGGTCGCAGAGATTTATACCTGTGTGTGTTCTAAGAATTGAGTCATTTTAGTTCTTCCATTTAAGTCTCTGCTCCGTTAGGAGTTAATTTCTGTAGGTGGTGTGAGTTAGGGGTCCCAGCAGGTTCTGTCGCATGTGGACACCCCTTTGTCCTCACACCGTTTGTTAAAAAGACTTACGTGGTTCCCTTGCCCAGAGTCAGTTGACTGTGAATGTGAGGGTTTATTTCTCGACTCTCGGTTTCACTCATCTCTGTGTCTGTGCCAGCGTGGCACCGCTTTGATTACTGTGCCTTTGTTGTCAGTCTTGTGCTGTGTGTACTTACCAATGACAAACGGTAATGAAGCCCCAGGACCCAACGCAGCAGAGGGGCAGCGGAAGGAACGGGTGGGTCGTGGATCTCTCTTTGACATGCATAGTAGGAGGTCCGGTCATTACCGTTTGCTCCGATTCCACATGCGCGGTTGTCATCATACAGATTCCTTGGAAGAGGCTTACTGATGGGCTCAGCTCGACCTCACCTTTACACCAGTATGTTTCTTTAGGCTGTCCTTATCGTTTCAGAGACCAGCTTCAGACATGGGCCTGACGTTAGATTCCTTAGCATACGTGTCAAACAGATCGTTTTCTCATTTTATTTTGAGACACCCTGCCTCTCCTTGCGGCGCCACGTGCTGGCTTTGGTGTCGGCTGTCCACCAGACCAGACCCCCCCCCTCTGTCTCTGGCTCCCTCTGGAGCACACGGCTTTCGTAACTCGTTTCATGAAAATCTTTGAGATGATGCATAGTCCTTTTTATTAAGGTGAGCCCAAGAATCTCCTAAATTAATAATAGTAAAATTAAAATCTAAAATAATAATGAAGGGGAGCTTTATGTTGCTAGACTAACCTGAAATACCTCCTAATTTAAAAAAAAAAATTATTTTTAAATAATCTCCACACCCAGTGTGGGGCTTGAGCTCACGACCCCAAGATCGAGAGTCACGTGCTCTACCAACCAAGCCAGCAGGGTGCCCCTGAAATATCCCCTAAGTTTGGTGGTTTTCACATGGTGCGGTGTCAGACAACAGAGTAATCTTATTTGCATGATGAGATCTTACTAACGTTTTGTATTTTTTCTTCCTGAGTGTATAAATTGTCCCATCTTGATTAATACAGAGACAGGAAAATTGGACCATCCTGGTTCACTAAAGTCTCTGGTCAATGGTTCTGTAAGTTTGAGGGGATAGACCCCTTTCCCCTGAGTTATCCCCTGGCACGCTATTCTTGACGGCACTCGTGAAGACGCAGGTGCAGGGCGGATGACTGATCGCTGTCCCTCCTTTGCTCTGGAATGTGCATCACTTCACACCAGACTCTGGAGACTTTGTCCCAGAAATGAAGTTTATGTCAAGTGTAGTTCAATAATCTTTAAAGTGGTGAAGGTTAGATAAAATCAGTAAGAAAACTAGTTGTTTGATGACGGTAGATAATTTCGTTTCACATAGTTAAGTTTTTACTGATATAATTTTCTGCATTTTCCAGAAATTCCTAAGGGAGTGCTAGTTTCTAAAAGATCTGATTATTTTCTGATTACAAATGGTTAAACTTGGTGCCAACATGTTAAAAATTGTCGAGATCTAAGTGAGTGTAATAGTATAGGGCTAATAGTATGGTATCTGAACATTAAATCCTTAGCAGAAGAAAATTGTATATTGATTGATTATGATATTTATTGGGTCATAATGTATTTAAATTTTCTTTAATGCATATGTTAGTGATTGTTTACTGTGATGAAGTGCAAAGAGGTCTTCAAGAGCAATCCTGCATAGAAAGAATTACCTCATGTCAGTGGTCACTTCTCAATTAAAAGTTCCATTAGCAGATGGTTCCTGCTTCTGGTGTGGGTCGCGATTGCATTTTATCGCCTGTAAATCAGGCTGTCGACAGGGAATAAATAAACAGCTCAAGGATGTGGTAATGTCATCTTGAACTTTTTTTTACAGATAGAATCACCTAGGTCCATTTAAACCAATTAAGTTCAGAAATTTATTGAAGGAAATCTTTTATCATATTTGAATTCTATTTGAAAATGGCTTTTTTTCCCCTTGCTTCAGAATATTGATTTAACTGGAACAGGATGCCTGTAAATCAGATTATTTGATAATATCTCGGTCATATATTTCAGATTTCTAATTAGCAGACACCCTTCCACACGTGGTTTACCATTTTGTATTTTAGTAGAATACAGTGTGCGTTTAATGCGTCCTAGAATGTAAATGTTAATGGTTTACCCTGAGATTTTTGAGAGTTGGGAAAATTTATTCTTTTATACCATTGGAGTCCCTTCGTAAAATGCTCACCAAATCTGCTGAGCCTTTAAAAGTGAAGACTGAAGTGAGTATAGTGATTTAGTTACCTTGGTCTTTAAATGGCAAAGCCTCTCTTTTCTAATATCTTGTTCTGAACTCTCAGGCTCATTAGGGGTCAGAGTGACGGAGCTCCCTCATCTGATTGTCACCGAACTAAGTGCTCTTGTGTCTCAAGTTAATAGATCTTTTCGCCTAGATTTTTTAAGCATAACATTCAGCCAATAGTTGATCATCCTGTGCTTAATCCAAGCCTTCCAATCAGTGTAAAGACTTTTTTACTTTGGTGTCAGCAAATTTCACAAGCAAGCTTTCTCTGAGTCTCCCGATTATCCACAGTGGGCGGTTCATTATGAGTTTGCTTGTTGACCTTCAACTTTTTTTGGAAGCAGAACAATGAACGATCATAGTAATTTACAGATGGTTATTTTGTTTTAATCTTACCCCCTCTGAGAACTGTTCCCTTAAATCCGTACAGCATTCTAATAACACAGAATTTACATTCTTTTCCTTTAAGAACAAAGTGTTCACCAATCTGCAAATTATTCTTCTTGTCAGTTAAGGTCATAGTTTTCTACCTAAGTTTATTTCTACAGAATTAAACATGATATAAAAACAAGGTAGATTGTATGGTGAAAGTGACAAGGGTGTTCCAGAATGCAGCTGATTCCACCACCTAAAAGTATTATTTTAGTTTTAGCCACTTGGAGATATTCACCAAAATTCTTTCTGCTCCTTAATAAAGTAGATCTTCCCTGCTGTTGGGATGCCCCTTCTCCTAATTTTTACGCACTCCCAAATATGAGTCAAACGCAGATCAGTACCGTGTCGAGACCGTCTTCGTTTCTCTAAGCCATGTTAAGTGGTCACTATGAAAATTAGAAACACAGACTTGCTCGTCCTGCTTTAACGTCCACGGCTTTAATCTTCATTTGTGCAGTAAAGACAGTAAATATCAAAAAACAAAATGTAGCCCATTTAAATTCTTTAGAACATTTAAGTACTAGCTTGGAATTAGTAAATTTAATTTAATGAAAGCAGACCAAGGA